GCAATGATCGAATCGTTTCTCGGGCTGTACGCCATGTGGCGCCATCTTGTTGAAACCACGTGTCGTCCGCATCCGTATCTTATCCCAAAATTAGGACCAAACAGTGACACGTTGTGGATGCATTTGTTTCTCAATTCTGTGGATTTTCTGAACCCAAATGCGACAATTTTGTTTTGATTAATCGATCTATCAAGATGAAGATGATTTTGTTGAAAAATCTTCATTATTTTTAAAATATTGCTCGACGATGAAAACGCGTTGTTCTGTAGCGCTCTATTTTTTTTTCAAGTTGGCAACACTTTACCGCGCAGAATTCAAATCTTGCGTGAATTTTGGGACACCCGTTACATCGATTGGAAGCCTCTTTTATCCCGTTCCTTTTAAGAAGATAAATAAATAAATAAATAAATAATTTCAATTCTTAATTCTCCTCTAAATATTGATTACTGTTTAAAAATCTTTTTCACATAAAGTATAAATAATTTTTTAAACGTTCGAAATTCATTTATCAATTGTATGAATGTATTTTTTAAAATTCACGATGTTTCGAATATTGAATATTTTTCCTGATAAAAAAAAACCGTATATTTGAATTAGAAATTCATTGATTCAAAGGAAGATATATCTAATTTTCATTAATTAATTTTTTCAATATTTTTATAATTTATATCTCGATTACGTTACGAGATACGTTACGGATAACTCGTCATTATTATCATTATATAAATACAAACGTGAGAATAACGCATTCAACTGGAAATTAAATCGATACCGGTTCCATTTCTCACGATCAATCTTCCATTTCCTTTGTCCTTTCCTATGCCTCTCTTCCGCACGTTTTCGTTCACAGACACTTCCATTTTCTCGCGACTATTTTTCCTTCTGCAAATTTCCAGGAAATCTAATTATGAATATCTGTGCGTTCGTATTCCATACGAAGAATGTTGTCCGAGGGGAGAAAGATTATTTGGATATTTGAAGGAAAATATTGGGCGAACGTGAGGAGTTTGTGTATTCAAATAATTTATGAAGAGATTATCATTAGTATATATGCGCATGCGTGTGTTTGCTTGAAAGAAATAACAAGCGTTTATTCAACACTTTTTTTCGAAGAATTTCTGGTTATTTTCTTTTTCTTTTTTTCTTTTTTTTTTTTTTTTTTTCATAAAATATTCAACAACGACGGAAATTAAAATCTACGACGAGTTCTCATTCGTTCCATCTGCCCGGACATAAGAATCGAAACTAGCGTGGAATAGAATTCAATAAACGATCCACGAGATTTTTAATAAAAAGTTCGTTTACACTTTTCGCCGCTGTAATTTAACCCTTTTGTCAAAATTTCTAACGTCATCCATGTATTTTTTCGAATATTTCATTCGTAGAAGAATACGTAAGAGGATTTGGTAAAAACATTTTTCGCATTTTATGCATTTCTTAGTATGCATTTTTAAATATTTTACGAAAAAGAGATAAGAAGATTTTAAAAAAATTCTTTTTTCTCTTTTCCAGTATATTCTAGTATACATTTACATACATTCTCTACTTCGTATTTCGTACTTACTTTACTAAAAATTTGCTAAAAATTTCGTAAGGAGGATTTTATCGTGATTCTTGTTATTCTAATTATTAAATACGCGTCCAATATCGCGAAAGAATCGCAATATATTTTTCGAATAAATTGATCAAAAAAAAAAAAAAAAAAAAAAAAAAGGAAAAGTAATTATATGATAGTACAAATTGGCACGGATATAATTTTGTTATATCCTTGTTTTCACCCGGTATTCCTCGTTAATCCAGTCCCGGTTTTGTTTCCACACCCCGTTTAAAATCTCGTTTCGTAGGCGTCGATCAATTTAAACCGAGCAGAGACGCTGAGCCTATTATCCCGTCCCACCTTCGATAATTCGACTTTGCAAGATTATCGGATTTCTGTTAATCCATCCTCTCGTACTCGGCTTCCAGTTCATCGATCGCTCGCGGATCAACTCTTACAAAGAGATAAAATCGATCTTTCGATACGATATTCGTCCAAAGGATTTTTCGATCGAGATTGCGCAAATTTTAATTCCGTTTGATAAGATTTTAAAAAAGGGATCGAGATCTATTAATCCATCCTCTCATACTCGGCTTCCAATTCATAGATCGCGGATCAATTTTTACAAAAAAATGAAATCGATATAAATCGACGATATTCGATCATTTCAAAAGATTTTTCGATCGAGATTGCTCAATTTTTAATTTCATTTGAAAAGATTTTAGAAAAGGGATCGAGATCTGCTCCAGTTCATTGATCGCTCGCGGATCAATTCTTACAAAAAAATAATAAAAATAATAATAATAATAATAATAATAATAAAATAATAATAAAAATATACAGAGAGATAAAGAGATTACAAAAAGATAAAATCGATCTTTCGATACAAATCGACGATATTCGTCCAAAAGATTTTTCGATCGAGATTGCTCAAATTTTAATTTCGTTTGATAAGATTTTAAAAAAGGGATCGAGATCTGTTAATCCATCCTCTCATACTCGGCTTCCAATTCATAGATCGCGGATCAATTTTTACAAAAAAATAAAATCGATACAAATCGACAATATTCGATCATTTCAAAAGATTTTTTGATCGAAATTGCACAAATTTTAATTTCATTTGAAAAGATTTTAAAAAAGAAATCGAGATCTGTTCCAGTTCATCGATCGCTCGCGGATCAATTCTTACAAAAAAATAATAAAAATAATAATAATAATAATAGTAATAATAAAATAATAATAAAAATAATAATAATAAAAATATACAGAGAGATAAAGAGATTACAAAAAGATAAAATCGATCTTTCGATACGATATTCATAATCGACGATATTCGATCGTTTCAAAAGATTTTTCGATCGAGATTGCAAATTTTAATTGTTTAGTTGCTAGTTTGAAAAGATTTTAAAAAAGGGATCGAGATCGCATCACAATCAGAGAAATAAATTTTCTTTCTTCTTTTTTTTATCGAAGCACGCTTCGTGTAATTTGTTCGAGTAGCCGGATACAATAGTTTCAAGTTTCGTCCTCCCCCCCTTCCATTGGCATAAATCGAAGCGTTTATATCGTTAGAAGGAAGTCAGTCATTGCACACCAGTCAGATGCAATACCAGACGCGATTCGATTGCGCAAATAAGATTATGTATCAACTAATAGCGGATTCGATGCCGCGCAGTTAGTTGGAGATTAAGCTCGTTTTAAAATTACCTCATACGTTTCTCGCTTATCGATCGATCACGAAACAGTCCGCTTTAATTTCTCAATCAAAGATTTATCAAGATGAAATTGTCTTTGTACTCTTATTTGAGAAATAATAAAGAAAAATAGGGGGAAATAAAAATAAATATTTTGTATTTCCAAAGAAACGGATATTTGTACGATTTTACACACAAATGTGAAACGTTAAAAATTGAAAGGAAATTGGACGACATTGTTTCATTCCTCCATTTTTCCCCCTTCGCTTCACGAAGATATACCATTCGCCTCTGTTTATGGATAACGATAAAAATCGTAACGATTCGACGATAACACATACTTCATCATTCGAGTACATATAAATATAAAGTGTAGAAGAATATAAAGTGATCCTTTACGCGTCTATGAAATTTTACATAGGGTGATATCGAGGCATCTCTCAACCAGAGGAAGCACGCCTTATATCGCGTGCGAATCTAACTCTCGAAAATGAAGCCTCGTTTAACCCCAAATAAGTGGAGTTCTTCACTTTATTAGCCTTATTCTTCGTCGAGACGTGAAGAAGTATCCGGAAATATGTATAGAATACACGATAAAGTATTAGAAACGCAAATAAGTTCCTTCCACGATCATAACTTTTGAATTCGAATTACTTCACCGTTCGTGGCGCCATCTGAAACATCGTCCTTTCGTTTTCAAGAAGAGTCCTTCGCGAGGAGCGCTTCGAAAGTTTCCAGTCAGGAAATCGGCCGTCCAAGCTATCGAATTATATTTGCGCGGCATTGGAAACGTGCAAAAATTCGCGTAGCAAAGATTTAAAAGCCGGAAATTAATAATAATTGTAATAAGAAATTAATAAGAGATTAATAATAATTATAATAAAAAATTAGAATAATTATAAATGAATATAATGAAATTAATAATAAATTAATAATAATTGTAATAAAAAATTATAATAATTATAATGAAATTAATAAAAAATTAATAATAATCATAATAAAAAATTATAATGAATAATTATAATGAAATTAATAATAAATTAATAATAATTTAATTTAGAGGATCGTTCGAATGAGTACCAGACTCGATCCAACCCAGATACGAGAAGAATCAGTAGAAAGATCGGGAGATTGTTCCAATCTTGGATAATCTTCTGATCCTGATTTACTGATTAATAAAATCTTGAATTTGGGAAAAAAGGGGGAAAGAACTTATTTGCACGCCTGATACTATATCGATTCTACAGGAACAATCTCGAACAATCGTCGCCAAATGTATCCCAATCCATCTTACAGAGAGAGAGAGAGAGAGAGAGAAACAGAGATAGATAGATAGATAAATAAAGATAGAGATAGAAAGAGAGGAAGGGAGAGAGAGAGATAGATATATAGATAGATAGATAGATAGATAGATAGATAGATAGATAGAGAGAGAGAAAGAGAGACAGACAGAGAGACAGACAGACAGACAGACAGACAGATAGACAGACAGACAGATAGAGAGAGAGAAACAGAGAAACAGAAATAGATAGATAGATAGATAGATAGATAAATAGATAAATAGATAAATAGATAGATAGATAGATAGATAGATAGATAGATAGATAGATAAATAGAGAGAGAGAGAGAGAAACAGAGATAGATAGATAGAGAGATAAATAGATAGAGAGAGAGGGAGGGAATCAGAGACATATTTCCTGATTGCAAAAGACTCTGCTCTGCGACAGACGGCGGAGGTGGAAGAAACAGGAGCATTACGCGTGCACGACACACGATACGAATCCGGAGATTGGTATTACGGATACAAAACGACGTATTCCTAGGCGAACGATGAGTAATGGTGGTGTCTTGTGTGTGCGTGCTCGTGAGACGCGGAATCGTTAACGTTTTCGAGCCTGGTGTGCGGTTATGTATTATATCCCGTGCGGGTCAGAGGGATCGGGTGATGGGATGAAAAGGAAAAAAGAAAAAAAGAAAAAAAAAAAAAGGGAAGAGAAAGAAAAATTAGAAATACTCGAGCAGGGCGTCGAACGACGGTCGATTTCAGTGAAAGTGAATATAGGGACACCTGTATAAAATCGGGAACCGAAACGAGTGATGGCACATTCGAATACGGGAGCGACGATGAGGAGCGCGTACGTTGTAAGTAAACCAAAAGATAGACCTTTGTTTTCATAGGATTAAGAATTAAGAGGAATTAACAGACTCGTTTCTTAATTATCGAATACTTTACTTTCTTTTTTACTTTATTCGCTTACTTCACTTACTTCACTTATTTCACTTAATTTTTTTACTTTATTGGAATTATGAATACTTATATTCATCTGTAAGATAATACGAAGAAACGACAATTTTGTTTTTCCTTTATTACTCTTCTTGTCAATATTACTTCTCTTGAAGAAATAGATATAATCTTGCCTAACTTTCATTACAAGTTGTAAGTAGACAAAAAGATAGACTTTTGTTCTTATAGAACTAAGAATTAAGAGGAATTAACAGGCTTGTTTCTTAATTATCAAATACTCATTGGAACTATGGATATCTGTATTCATTTATAAGATAATATAAAGAAACATACAAATTTTATTTCTTCTTTATTACTTCTCTTGCCAATGCCTAGAAGAAATCGGTATAATCTTGCCTAACTTCCATTATAAGTTCATTAAGTAAATAGATGATAAGATAGATCTTTATTTTTATAGAATTAAGAATTAAGAGGAATTAACAGACTCGTTTCTTAATTATCAAATACTTATTGGAACTATGGATATCTGTATTCATTTATAATACGAAGAAACACGACAATTTTGTTTTTCCTTTATTACTCCTCTTGCCTAGAAGAAATAGATATAATCTTGCCTAACTTCCATTATAAGTTATAAGTAAACGAAGAATTTAATTTAGAGGACGAGATAGACTTTTGTTTTTATAGAATTAAGAATTAAGAGGAATTAACAGGCTCGTTTCTTAACGCGACAATTTTATTTCTCCTTTATTGCCTAGAAGAAATAGATATAATCTTGCCTAACTTCCATTATTCACCATACCCACCCTACCTTTTCACCATTCCTCGACCATCCGTCACAAGCATCATTAAAAAGGTGAATAAAAATTACATCTTGCTCATTTACATCATCACCAAAAAAAAAAAAAAAAGAAGAAGCAACCAAAGAACACGTCGCTCATTTTCACAAACTCTCCTGATTTTCGCAGGTGTTTTGCCTTTTGGCGGGCGCGGTGGTGGCTGAGAAAGCCGAGACAGCCGAGAAACAGGCGAGGAAGACGAAGCGAGGAATCCTGTTGGGCACTGCGGGATCACCGGTTGCTTTGGACTTCGCCTCGAGATACGACTTCGAATCCAGCGGGTTCGGATTGACGGGGCTCGCCAATGGATTGGGGGCCGGCCAACTTTCAGGAGGATTAGCAGGGGGTGGAGCCGCCATCGTCCACCAAGCGCCAGTCCTCGTCCACCGGTATCCCTCACTGTCTACTGCTTATTACGCGAGGCAGCATCCTCTGGTCAGGGATGTTCACACGCCTCATCAGAGACCAGTTGCCCAGCCACCCGCTGTTAGATTGCAGGCCTCTTCTCAGCCGATCTCCGTTTCCCAACACGTCAACATTCCCCAGACGACGGTGCCAGTCGTGTCTCAATCCGTTCCTGTCGTCGTGTCCGCCGTGTCCTCGAGCTCGGCTGGAACCGGCTTCTCTTCCAGGATCGATTCCAGTGGCAGCGTGGCTGGATCCTCTGGCCTGGCCTCTTCTTCGGCTACCGATCTCGGCTCGAGAGGGTTGATCCCCAATCTTCTTGGACACGCTTCGTCCGGCTCGATTGGAGGGGTTGCCGCTCTTGGAGGAGTTGGCACTGTTTGAGAGGAAGAAAAGGAAATGGATGGAACGAAAAGAAGAAGGAAAGGTTGCATTTTTTTATTTGAATTAAAGTTTTTCTTAAAGTTTGTAATTTTCTTGTATCCTTTGGTGAAATTATACTTTTATATGTGATAACGATTTCATTTCTGTCGAGGTTGATTTCGATCCCTTTTTCGTTTAATTTAATATATTATTATTTATATTATTTAATTTAATATAATACGAGGTATTGAAGGGGGGGGTGAGAATTATCGTCGAAACAAATTTCTATCCACCTTTGTAATCGTGACACTTGTGACAAATGGTCGAGGAATGGCGAAAAGGTAGGAGGATAGGGTGGATAGGAAGTGCGCGTCGAATAGGCGAGGTTATATTAAAACAACGGTAGTTCTTCAAGCCGATTGGTCAATATGGGGCTCGTGTGGGGTGGCTGATTACGTCAGCGAAAATCCTTTCGCGTCACGTGAACCTCCTCCCGAGCTTTCACACGAATCAGGTCATGACTTCTGTATACTGATTTTTAACTCTCCAAGCGAAGGATAAAAATTGCGCTTGCTTCGGGATAATAAAAATGGAATAATAAAAATAACGTTGTCTCGTAAGACGTTCTTCTAAGTAGAATGAATGTACGAAATTCTTCATTATTATTCGAAGAAAACTCGAGCAGTTCTTTCAATGTAAATTCGAATCATCTTCGAATATTATTCTTACAAATTTAATAATTTATAATTGAAATTATTCCTCGTCTCGGATAATTTCAAAACTTTGTAATTATTTTAGTCGTCGTTCCGGTATTATCATTTAAGATAAAGTAAAGTTCTCAATGTTAGTTATGTTAAATTAAAATTAAATTTTAATGTAAAATCATAAATAATATATGATGAAAATATCTTGTAATTTTAAATTTGCTTAAAATGTTAATTGAAGTAAATATAAACAATGCACACAAATTTAATTTTATTTATAAAAAAATACTCATCGATTATTACATTCATCGTAATGTATATAATTGTAATAAATTGTTGAATGCATAAATTAATAATGTAAATTCAAAAAAATGTTGAATTATTGTATTATCGTATTCGAAAAATTAATTTTAAAGCAATCGGTAAGAAACGTATACGTTCGTTGAACTTCGGTTTCTATAAATACGAGACAGGTCACGAGAAAGAATTCATTCTCTATCGGACTCCGTTGACGTATACATCGAAATTATAACGCTTTAATTAAATTCTATCGGTTCAGAAATTTTTACGATTTTTAATTATTTATTTTTATAACATTCTAAATTAACCTTCCTTCGCTCTTTTAATTATTTATACTTTTATTTTTTAACTCCTATTTTCATTCATTTTTATTTATTCATATTCTTACTTTCAATTCATTTATTAATTTTTATTTTCGCTCGTTTTATTTCCTCGCTTATATTTTTATTTTTTATATTTTTATTTTTATTATTATTAAAATCTTAATATTTCCATATAACGGTAATTAAATTATCATTCCACTTTTAGAATAATTTAGATTTCTTTAAAATTCAACGTTTCAATTCATTTCCATAGTAAGATAATTTTAATAATTCATTTTTATTATTCTTCGTATACGTAATCACCTCCTCGCTTGGTGAGAAACTTGGTAATTGGCGTCGTTTCTCTCCATATTTTTTCATATTAAAATTATCACGTTACAGAGATTACGACACAAATATTACACTGAATGTATCGTATTAAATACATTTATAGAGACATTAATCTTTGAAAAGCTACGAATTATATTTACTTTCGTTTGTTTCAGATTTCTCTAACCTATAGTTATATTTCATCCAATTTTCCTTTCATTTGAATTTTCATTTATTACAAGCATCTTGGAATATTTTAATACAACATAATTTTCCAACCGAACAAATTATCTGAATTTTAAATTTATTTAAATTTATTTACAAAACAGAAGAGGAAAAAGGATATTTCTCTTATATCTTTAATCCATATTTATTTACAGCAAATTTTTACGTACGAATTTTCGTACGTTCGTAAAAATCAGCCTCGTTTATTTATATCCTTGGTTGGAAATTAGAGCCAGTGTTTTACCTCCGCGATGGTTTATTTAAATTTTAATGGATAGAACGCGAAAATAGAGTGAATGTTTGCTCCCCGATTTTAAACGATCGCGTTAATAGTCTTTACTATTCTTTTAAATATTCGTTTCGAGTACGCTTCTCTCGAGAAGAGGATAAAGCGGTCATCCATCACGCGAAGAGCTTACGTTTTTATTCAAATTTCTCGTTCCTCCGTCCAGAATCATTGGACGCTTAAAAATCTTTTGAATTTCGACTCCTTTGCATTGGAATCTTAATTTTCATTGGCAATCTTCGTCACAATTTATTAAAATTTTGGATTTTTTTTTTTTTTAATTCCAAACGATCCGTGTTCTAAATTCCGTTTGCTTTTTTACAGTTGCAGTAGAGTTGCCTTGTGTGAAATGATTTTTCATCCACGAATCATGGAATGGTGAGTCACGTGCATTATTTATTTTATCCCTTCGATCGAGGACGAAAATTTCGAATTCGACACTAGATAGGTTCTTTTCGATTTTTATTATATGTGAGTGATAATTTTCTGTGTTTTTGAATGACAGAAGTGTTCTTCCATACCTTTTATATCACGATTTACAATTTTCGATTGTGATGAAACATAATCAAACACGATGAAACATAATCAAACACGATGAAACATAATCAAACACGATGAAACTTAATGAAACACGATGAAACATAATGCGTTCAACTTTGTTTTTGCACATGTATACAAGAAGATATATTTGACGAGAGAATTTCAGAATCAAGGTAATATATTTTTTAACAATATATTTGCTTTCTTATTCTCGAAGACGTGCTTTGATAAAGGAATGAGGCTTGAGGTTATTTATTTAGTAATTAAATTAGAGTCAATTATTTCGCTTTGCACACCGTTAGTGCAATTTTAAATTCTCATCCACTTTCAATTTTTTCTTATAATACAATTAACAAAGTGGAGTTATTAAAGTAATTTTCGATAAAATGAAAAAGTATGAGAGTATTTCTTCCCGTTAGGAAGAAAGAAAACATCTTTCAGGATTTTCAGGTTTGACTCCTTTCGCATCACTCGGATGCTGCTCGACTAGTTTTGAAACAACGATTGAGTTAGTGATCGTGCACGACCTGTTTTCCACATTGTATATATGTGAATATGTTCTTATTCTCAATTTTTATTATATATATAATTATATATAATATATAATTTTATTCTTATTATTAATTATATATAATATATTCTTATATTCTATATTATATCTTATATTATATCTATATCTTATATTCTATATATTAATATATTCTATAATATATAATATATTCTTATTATTCTTATTATTATTATATAATTTTATTCTCAATTTATCAAATAATAATTTCAATTTTCTCCATTTCCTCCATTCGTTTTATTACCATTTCTTTAAAAGTCGTACATATATTCTTTTAATCTCTATTTACGTTTTTAAATTTCGATCGACGGTATATTTTTATCATGCAATGATTGCTAATCGACTTCGAGAGAAAATGTGTCTAAACTTAAAGTAATATTAAATCGTGGAATGATTGTCTTTTTTTGTCACAATTTGTTACAATTTTTATGTTACAACTTACCAATTATCATATAATTTCAATTTTCTCTATTTCCTATTTTGAGAGAAAATAACTTAACTAAACTTAAAATAAACTTAACTAAACTTAAAAAAAATTTCAATTTTCTCCATTTCCTATCGTTTCTTTGAAAGTCATACATCTCTATTTACGTTTTCAAATTTCGATCGATGATATATTTTTACCGTGCAATGATTGCTAATCATCGATTTTGAGAGAAAATGTACCTAAACTTAAAGAAATGTCAAATCATAGGCGTGATGAGAATCGTGGAATGATTGTCTTTTTTTGTTACAATTTGTTACAATTCTTATGTTACAATTTATCAATTATATTATTATATAAATTATAATAATAATTTCAATTTTCTTTATTTTCCTATCGTTTCTTTAGAAGTCGTATATATATTCTTTTGATCTCTATTATGTTTTTAAATTTCGATAGATAATGCAATGATTGCTAGTCATCGATTACCTAAATTTAAAATAATGTCAAGTCGTAGAGTAATGAGAAATTATTATCAATCGTGGAAATTGAGAATATTTTAAGCGGATGATTGAGGTTATGTCGACTATATTTATTAGAGATTTCTTTCAGTTCAAGTTTCATATGTAAACTTAAATATTTTCTTTGTATTGATAAACGATTTTTCGATAATTTGAATAATTTTAAATAGAAAATATGTAAGATATATTTTTCACGATTATAAAGTTTCTTAATGATATTATTGGAATTTGAAAGATTTGTTTTCAATGATTGAGATTAAGTCATGTTTTTGTATTCTTTTTTTTGCAAGTGTTATACTATTGATGATAAGTTGCAAGGTGTGACAGCATTTTATATACATATTTTGAATAATAAATATTACGATATACAACATCAAAGGATTAATATTTCATGAATTAAAAAAGAATAAAGAATGAATGTGTTGGAGCGTCTGTTTCGCCACTTTTTAAAATATAGAGTTAGATAGGATACTTTTTGATGTGAATTGATGTTAATTAATGGGTAAGGCTGGACTGATTGTCACACAGTCTCTGGACGACAATCTGTTTGACAATCTGTTTCAGGAAATACAACTTGAAACGTCGAGAGCGAAACTGAGACGAGTGGCGGTCGATGGCCACTCGTTTCTGGTTTTGCTCGTCGATTTTTCGAATTTCGTGGTTGTGAATTCGGTTTCGAAACGAACGTTGAGATTTTGCACGTGTGAGGGACACGATGATCCATGTCTGTCATTCAGTTCTCGCGATTTATTTTTTTATTTTTTATTTTTTTTTTTGTTTCAAATTTCAACGGGCTCGAAGAAAGAAGACGAAGAGACTTGTCAATCTGTCACGAAGGGAGTTGGAAAGAATGATTTTTCGTCATGGGAAAGTCATTGTCGCTACTTTGTCACGTCATCATGGCAGAATTGATTTTTGATTAATGTTGCGATAAATAAATTATAGTTTATTATCAGAGTTGCAGAAAAATAATAATCGCGTTTGCTGTGAATCTTATATCATGTTTTTTATGAAATATTAAATATAGTTAAAAATAGTTTAGTTTAATTTGAGTTTTAATTGCAAAGATATCAATTTATTTGAATTATTAAATTTATTTTAAGAATTAATGTTACATAAAATGTCTATAAATCTTTCTAATATTGCGAAATTGATCCGTTGTTTTTGTTTTAGTTAGTGCGGCTATAAGAGTTGCGGAAGGGTGGTTTTCCACTTTTTTCTGGTTACCTTTTCTTTTTCAGCACCCTCGAGTGTTCATGAAAATACTGCTCATCTGTTTTAATCCTTCTAATAGTCAAAATCATTACGAGGATAAGAATATTATTTTTTCTAATATTATTATTCCTGTGCATAATATCAAAATCAAATTCATTTTACGTTAAATTTTTTATTTATGATAAATATTTCTTAATTTTTACTATAAAAGGTAGTGATAGATAGAGCAAGTAGTGTTAATTGAGTCGAATTACGATTACGTTTTTAAAAATTTGATAAAAAATTTGTTTATGTGAAAATCTGTTACATGAAAAGTTTAATAAAAAACATCTTGCACGTGAGTATTTCAGAGTATTTATCTTTCGAGCACCAAATCTCTTAAGATAAGTCTTTTCGTATTTATCATCTCGTTATTGGTGATAGGTAATGAAGGAAACTCTATATTATCAACAGCTACAAACTGTACTTTTGCTTACAGCATTCTACCTTCTCTGTTCATGATATACTGTTTTCTACCTAACCGACAATCGATCGGTAGAATTCAAAATCGATTTCACTTTATTCGACGGTGATAAAAAAATAAATTATTCATAATTTACAATACATACAATAAATTTAAATGAAACAGCGCATAATAATTATTAATTTATTCTCGATTTAATATAATTATGCAATTCCATAAAAATATAACATATATTAATCAACTTACGAATCTGCAGATATTCATAATAAAAAAGAATAGCTTCCCACTCACCTGAAACAAAAAACAAAAAGAAGCACGATTATTTATCACTTAGAATTTTTCACTAACTATATTATTCGATAAATTGAATTCATTTATGACAGGAAATAAAAATAAATTGTTACTCTACGAATTAATTGTCTTTTAAACATATTGAAAGAATTCCCTATACAAATTCCCTACGAAACGATACATAAAGACTGAAATAAGAAGATAAAAAATAATAAATAATTTTAATATTCTTTTCTTAGATTTCGTTGCTGCGTTAATTCTTCTATCTTTATTCTTTCACCATAAAAACTATTCCCGGGTGTCTCATTATTAATATTAAGGGGAAACCCTGTGTTTAAAAGTCGAGCGAGCAATGTGGTGATTTTTTTTTTTTTTTTTTTTTTTTTAGTAGGTGAGATAATTTTTCCTCTAAACTTAATAATGCAACGCTTGTTGAAAAAGCTTTTTGAAGTAAGCAGGGAACGATGAAAATATATGAAAAGGAAATTTCAGATCCTTGTTAACGAAGTGAACGAAGCCGTTGATGGATTTATTGAAATCTTATTTTAACTCTTTGCGATTTTATGATCGAATTAGACTTGACTTTCGAATCTTTTTTTTTTTTTTTTTTAATATTTAAATATATGTTACAGAAATTTTTATAAAGATTGTGGAAATATACGTAAAATCCAATTTCTACGATTCTATCGAATTAAAAGGAAAAAGTGAGCGTAAATGCGGCAAGTAGAATTAGGCCATCTATGGTCAGACATACAGTTTATTCTACTTTCACGAGAAATTACATTCACTTCTTACTCATTCTAGGAGACACTTTTTAAACGTAACATTATTTAAATCGACGAGTATTATAAGATTATTTATAAAACAATCATTTTAATAACAATTTCTTACTTCGATTATCCCAAGATCAACAAATTATTTCCTTCTTACATAATCTCTAATTGAGAAAGTCCATTCAATAATATTCTTCGAACGATATACATTTCACTTTTTCCCCGAAGAAAAATCTCGAACGGAAACGCAATTTTCAAGTAATAAATATAAAGTTGCTCTAAACTGTCCTACAGCAAGAAGACAACAAGTAAATCGACAAATCTTGAACAATGTTTAAAAGTGTATTATAATTCAATCGGACTTGCGGAACCATTAAAGTTTATCACGACTTGCCACGTGGAAAAATAATTGGAAAACTTTATTCCAGTTTCATATTGAAATTCATTGTGATTTATCGCGTAAAAAGTTGAAAAAAAAAAAAGAATTCAACGAGATCGAGATTGCTGGAAATACTAAAGAAAAAAAAAAAAAAAAAAAATAGTCGCTTCTTTTATTCATACGCATAGTTTCAATTTAGTTTAGTTTAATTTCTTACAATCATGGAAATGACATCCATCCAGTGGAAAAGTGTCGGTCGATGGTTTTGCATATTTTATATACGGTTACGATTGCAAAAGCTCAATGTACAAACGGTGTATAAATTTGAAGGCACCGACTATCGACTTTCTGATCTTCGACCGACTTTCTGGAGCCGCGATAAACTTTGCCAATCTTTTCCAAACTTCATTTTTTTTTTTTTTTTCGAAATGAGCGTTCCATTCGGTTGATGAAATGTTCGGTTTAAGAACATTTCTCGAGTGCAACAA